TTGCTCAGGCTGGTCTCGAACTCCTGACCTTGAGCGATCCACTCGCCTTGGCCTCCCAGAGTGCTAGGATTACAGGCGTGAGCCACTGTGCCCGGCCCTGGGCAGATTTTGATAAGCTAGAGTGGAGGGGGAAAGAAAGAATGCAGGTTCCAGAAAGTGAGAATGAGATAAGCAAGGCACTCAGGCCGGAAAGTCCAGGGCATGTCTGAAAATGATAAGTATCTTCATTTACACAAAACATGGGATACATTAAAGGAATTGGAGATAAAAATGGTAAACCTCCTATTCAACATCTTAAACTCAGTAGATTTAAAACTGAATTACTAATATTCATATTTTCCCCCAAACTTCCCTCTCCCTCCTTCAGTAAATTGCACCTCCACTTTCAAACCCCTTCTACCTCACCCCTATATCTAATCAATCATCAAATATCAGGAAATAGAGTATTTGGGAATAAGAAGAGTAAGCTATTATAGAATCTGTGTTCACTTTTATTACAAGAAGCACCGTGTCTGTTCTTTTTCCCTAGGGAACTAGTTATCAAATTCAGCTTGTAACAGAATAACCTAGAGGACTGTTACAGCACAGACTGGTGCGCCCCACTCCCAGAGATCTAATTAGGTCTGGCGTTGGGGCTTGCTAAGTTCTAACAAGGTCTCAGGTGATACTGAGTTTGTTGGTCTAGGGATCACTTTGAGAACCCCATGCTTTCAGTATCCTGGTAACAAAGTCCAAATAATTCTTAATAGCTTGTTATTTTGAGTCTTTAAAAATTACTTAAGTTTCAAAAATTTTTCTCAAAGCCCCAAAAGTCAAACTCCCTACATTCAACTTATTTCAGAGAGGGGAAAACAACGACAATAACAAATCCAGCTATTCCCTCTAAAACTTTACATTAAATATGGGATCAATATTTCCTTACTGCTCCTTAGGTATGTCATCTATTGAATAGGCAAACCTTTCTTGTTAAACCAAGCAAGTTGAAGTTTGTCATAGCTGAAGTCTACAAAAAATGACTCAGACTTAGTATCTAAACCCATGGTTCTCAACTAGGGGCGATTTTTGCCCCCCAGGGGATATCTGGCAATGTCTGGAGACATTTTTGATAATCATAATTAAGAAGGTGTTATGAGCATCTAGTGACTGGAGATACTATTAACCAACTAGTGACAGGGATACTATTAACCATCCATTAAAGCATAGAACAGCCCCCCCACAACAAAGAATTACCCAGTCCCAAATGTTAATAGTACCAAGGCTGAGAAATCCTGACCTAAACCAAAGCCAGAATAACATTTTTGTGAAAGTGGACTTTTTTAGGCATTTAATACAATCAAGGGTTATTGTTTTTCTCTGGAGTAACCAAAACTTTGAGTCTGTAAAATAAGCAATGAGGCTGAAGTTCAAAAATCTCAAGGAAACTTCTAATAGTCAAAGTATTTTTTTCTACTGCCTCTTGATTTTCTACTCAAAATAAGATATCCTTGGCTGCTAAGATGACTTTTTTTCAGAAGTCTGAGTGGATCTGGATTACCCATATTTCTGGGAAGTGGACAGAGGATTCTGCTGACAATCATAAGTTTTCTGACTCATTGTGTAATTTGTTGGGATAGAAATGTTTGGCCTTGAGGAAGCCCAACTGCAGTTCCATTAGTTGGGCAAAATTACTTAACTTCTCAATGCCTCAGTTTCATCTTCTATAAAGTGGGGGGACAAAAGGAAAAAAAACCTACAAATGGGCCAGGTGCGGTGGCTCCCATGTGTAATCCTAGAACTTTGGAGGTATCACTTGAGGCCAGGAGTTTGAGACCAGACTGAGCAACATAGTGAGACTTTGTCTCTACAAAAAATAAAAAAAGTAGCCAAGTGTGGTGGCAAGCACTTGTACTCCTAGCTACTAAGGGGGCTGAGGCAGGAAGATCGCCTGAGCCCAGGAATTTGAGGTTGCAGCGAGTTATAATGATACCACTGCACTCCAGCACAGACAACGGAACGAGACCCTGTCTTCAAAAAAACAAAACAAAAAACCCAAACGAGAAACTATAAACACACTTCATGGGATTTGGGATTGTTGTAAAGCTAATAATACATGTTAAGAGTTTAGTACAGTGCTTAGAACATACAAATACACATGTAATAGCTATCATAATTATTACTACCTCTTTTTTTCTTTCTTCTAGAGCCAGAAATTTTTGATACCATTTCTCATGTTGTTGAACTTCATCCTGTGTTCTTCCAGGAAGGTGTTCTAGAACTTCTTCCATAAATGTTGGCTTCCCTTTATGTTTGTTTCTCACTTTGACAAAGTTCTGGTGATCATAATCATCCCAGCCCCCTTGTCGCCCTCCTGTTTGCTGAAGGAATTTTTCAAAATCTAGTATTTCTTCTGGAAGGGTACTTGGTGCTACTTTGTCTACAGGAACTTTGCTTGAGATTGCTCTGAAAGCTTTCTCTGTTTCTGAATTACTCAAAGCCCAGGAGTCAATTTTTCTTGATATGGCACTCAGCTCATTATTAGTTGTTTTCTCTTCTTTAATAAGCTCTTCATATCTAAAAGTTAAAAAATAAAGTTTGAATAAGAAGATACCAACCAATCCATACTAATTCTTCATTTTCCCTCAAGTTTAATTGTATCTGACTCTTTACATCATCTTCTCCACTTAACATTATTAGCATTTATAAATCCTAAAAGAGTTTCCTTAAAGATAAAAAACAATCTTTCAAATTCTTATTTGGGATTTTGTACTATCTAATTATGAATGAAAATTCACTTTAAACATGAAAAGCCATCTAAACCCTAAAACAAGAGAAGTATTATATTGTTTTTGTGCAAGACTCATTAAATACATAACAATAAAATGCCTTGTATACAACTTAGCAAAGAGTTATTAAAAAATAAAAGTCAATAATTTTATTTAAAATGAGTTTAAAACATACATCAACCTCTGCTCTTCTTTAAAAGTGTTAATTGCATTTTCAATTTCTTCCATCATTTCTCTGAGTTTCTCAACAACTGTAAAAAAAATAATCCATGGAAAAATTATTTTATGTCGTATTTCAGTATAACTAAGAGTTAAATATTAAGAAAAAAATGGATTATTTCTCTAATTTTAAAACATTTCTTAGTCTTAACAAATAAGTATACTCAAACGTGAATTATTATGATTTTAATTTTTTTCTGATTACAGGTTTTTTTCTATGCACCCATATCATTAAGTGTTATTATTATTTTTTACAAAAAAAGTTTCATACTAAACATACTGTTTTGTGACTCGCAGCTGTTATTTAACAAAATCTGGTTTAAAAAATGTGGCTAACCTTCCATATCCATATATATAGCACTATACTTCATTCTTTTTATGCCTACATATGGTATTTCATTACCTAAATCTACCCTAATCCATTTAATTAATTCTGCAATTGATGAACCTTTAAATATGCACAATGCTGTAGTAAATATCCCTGTACACGTTTTAGCATGCTCAAATAAGTATTTTAGAGGATAATTTATAAAACTTGAAATGCTAAATAAAAAAGTATGCCCACTTTACAAAATGCGGTACTGTCATACTGTCCTTAAAAGAGGCTCTACCAACTTACATTTCCTGAGAGGGCCCCTTTCCCAGGTACTTTTAACCATTTCCAAAATGAGAGGCAAATATTTATCATCATCGATTTTACGTTTTTGTGATCATTAATAATCTTGAGCATTTTTTATATGTGTTTTGCATTTCTTTTACTACAACGTGTACCTTATGATCTTTGCCCATTTTTCTATTAAGTTATTTATCTTTGTTGCTTTAATTTGTAGGACCTCTTATGTTAATATATTATGGATTTTACCCTTTAAAATTACATATACCTTGCTAATGCGTACACTCCTAAGCTGTCTTTCAACTTAGCTTATGGGTTTTCAGTTTTTTTTAAAAGTTGTCAAATATGTCCACTTTTTCCCTTATAGTTTCTGATATTTATCATTCTTATAAAATATAATATTGTTATAAAATATTAACCCATACTCTCTTCTACTATTTTTATGGTTTATTTATTAATTTTATGAATGGTTATAACATTCATATTTACCATTTTTAGTGCTATGTTAGAAGCACTGCACAAGTGCTATATTCTGTACATTGTATCACTTCATCTCCTCAAAAACTCTATGAAATAGGTCCTATGATTATCTCCATTTTAGAGCTGAGGAAACAAAAGCTCAGAGAGATCAAGCAACTTGCCTAAAACTGCGTAACTAACAAGTGACAGATAAAGTGTTTGACCCATCTGTCTGAATCCCAAGTCCATATGTTTTCAGCACTTTATTACTTTGATCGTTCAGGAATGAATGTTGGTGTAAGCAAGGAGGTGGGGATTTAATTTGTTTTTTTTTTTCCTCAAAAAACAGCATTTTCTCCAAATCAGTTTAACCTTTCTCTGTGTATTAGAATTGCTTCTGAAAGGTAATTTTTCAAAAAGCAAATGATAGGAAAAACATTGGGCTAGGAATCAGGAAATTAGTCTTTTTTCTCTTTTATTATCTGAATCTGAACCTTTCTGTACACAGATTCCCCATTCCATAAATGACACTAGTATTCGTTCTGCCTACCTTATAATTTGTAAGGATTTGATAGCACTTTAAAGGTTAAAAAAAAACCCCAATATAAACACTAGATATTACAGTTCTCCAATGTATCCTCATTAAGCCCTATCCAATACAGTAGGAGTTTAGCTCTATTAATGCCAAGTAGAAAATATTATTACATAAGAAAGACTGTATAATTTAAATTTACTTACAGTCAGGTGTAGGCCTCACATCTTTTAACTGATGCTGAAGTTTCTTTACATTGTTATGTATTTTGGCCAATTGTTGCTGGATTTTTGCTCCTATAAGGAAGAAGTATGTACCTTTAAAATAATTCTGTGACAAATGTGGTTACAATTCAGAATTTTACACATAGGACTAATCACAAGCACTTAGCAAAAGATAACCAAGAACAATAAAGAACAAAAGATGGTTATTTATGTCAAAACAATACTTTAAGTACCCTTGCTCTAGATAAAGCATCTCTCAATTTCCTTCAATATTTAAAAGCACAGTGGGTTAAATTTTACTATAACCTGTGCCAAGGAAATGTCTTTTTTTTCCTCTGTGGAGACTGAGTTATTGGACATTGTTTTTTAAACGCATGGATTAGCAGTTTAAGTCTAGTCTGTTTTGTTCTTTATCAGTGTTTCTTTTCTTTTTAATTTGCTATAATTTATGGAAATAGAATTTGATCTTTATTGTAGGAATATCCAAACTAACTATTTAATTCTATAAATACTGAAAAACTTCCCATTGACTTCATCTAACCACATCCTCTAAGACAGAGTCAAGTGATACCCTCTGGTACCACTGTCAGGTACCATTCAGTGGTATCTATGCCACAGGTTGCCAAACTCAACCAAGGGACCAGCCTGGAGTGAAATGTTAGTGCCACAATAAAAGCCTGAAAAACAGATGAGAGTCTCAAAGACATTTTTAGATGGTGTTTATCAGCAGTAGAAAGACTAGATTCTTCTTTCGTATTGTTTTCTGAAGTAATAATCTTACTTTCATATTTGTTTAACTTATTAGGCTGACATATTTACATATATATATTCATATAATAGTATTATTATTTTATACTCTTTGAGTACTTTATACACCCTTCTCTTTTTTGTTTTTGCAACTTTTCCACAAAAGAGTGTGAAGCACCAAAGGCTCTGCCCAAAAGTCCTTAAAAGTAATTATTTTTTTAAAAAAAGTTTATCTACAGGCTTGCAGACAGTGCTAATATCCCAAATAAACCTCTAAATATGTATATGTGACTTTGGCTTGTTCTACGTTTTTTTAATTAAAATTCAAGAGTTCCATAAAAGTACAAACTTTATTCAATTTATTTTATAGCATCTTGCCCGCTGTTGAAACTTTAGGTCAAGAAACTTCTCTAGTAAAGCTAAGAAATTAACAAAGTTTTTTGTTGTTTTATTTTTGCCTTAGTTTGATCAGCTACAGCAGTATCACTACAGAACAAATAATCTTTTAATTTTATTTATTCATTTAGAACAAACACTCTGTATAGACAAACCATTTAAGTACAATATGATATAAATGAAGGCTAAAATTGAGGCGTATACTTGAGGTAACAGATAGGGTGTTTATTACTTCTGAGCTGTAATATGTAAAGCATGTATCTTTATTCTAAGGCAATGCATTCCTTCCTCTCCTAGATAAGGCATAAAGTTTATTAAAGAAAGGTAAAACTGCAGAACAAAGGGAAATAAAAAGGTAAAAATAAAGGTTCCCTTTAAAAAGGGAAAATCAAGTGCCTAAAAAAAAATGGGATACTTTACTTAATTGCATGACTGAGAGAAAGATCATCCTCCCAGCTGTCTGCAAAAGAACTGAGGGAAATTAAGAAACATTAAATCAGAGATGTCTAGATTTCTCTACAAATCAAAGAGAAGAGAGAACTGCAAATCTGGTATTTATATAAGGATCTGCTATTATTCCAATAGAAGAGGGAAAATGATTCTTGCCACTACCTGACAAAAGATGACTTTTTAATAAAAGTATAATCTTATATTTTGAAAGAAAAAAATTATTAGGAATTTCTTTTAATTAGTGATAAGGGAGTATCATAAGCAGTCTAATCTCTACATAAGAAGTCTTAATATTTTATAAATCTTAGTTGATAACCATTATTTTTCCTTTAAATAATGCTAAGTAGCTTTTTCATTATAACAAGGATTTTACAACATAGAGAATCTGACTCTACAATGAAACAAAGTATTCTCATAGAATTCACTAAGGTTAACATTTAGTACACTGTTGACAATAATTAGTATTCATAACAAACAACTGAACATGTTCACTGTACAATCTATAAAGCATTTTCTTATATATTATCTCATCAGATGCACAGGACAGCTCTCCTGAGGTAGAAATGGTAGGTTTTAGAGTGCAGACAAGGAGACTCAGGTTTAAGCAATTATGTGACTTGATCACTTCTTACAACTACTAAGGATAGGTTCTGAATCTACTCATGCTTACTCAGTCCAGGGCTCAGTCAACAATGCCAGAGTAATGAGCTAAGATCAGATAGCCCAGAAATCAATGTGCTTTTAAGAAATTTTAATAGCATTTACCGGTTTGTCAACCAAAAAACCAAAACTCTTTCTTATTAAATTGAAAGAAATACAAATAGAAAACAATCTGGTTAGGATGATTAAATAGTGATCTGAAGAATAAATACGTGTCCCTAAAAGACAAATTTATTACCAACTAAAATATCTTAATAGAGAATATATTAATAACACAGCCAATGCACAAAGACAAAGTACAGGGCAAAACTACAACTTATATCACTCAACAGTATTTAGTTCATCATGAACTCAACTTACTTTCTGTTTTCCTGCTGTTAATCAATTTATTTTCCAATTCTTCCAGCATACTATGCTCAATTCTGAAGTCACCTTTTTGGTTGTAGAAATGACTGTGTTTATCTTTTTCTATGTTAATAACTCTTTAGGAAAAGAAACAAATGGAATAAATATAATTTAAATATATTTTTAATTGTTTAAAATATGAAGACACTCATAAAATATAATTACTTAAGAAGGCTAAGGAGTCAAAATATTAGTCAAGATAGTAGTTACAAAAGAGTTAAGTTCAACTAAAATCAACTATAATTTGAACTGTTATTTCAATTATAAAATGTTAATTTAAGAAAATGTAGATACGCACTTGCTTTGAAAATACATAAGTCTTTTGCTATCAATTCCAACTCAATCTCACTGGAGCCTGAAAATGGCCATCAATGCTGATGACTGCTTTCAATAGTAGATACTGTTCACTTTGTAACCTTAGCCAAGATGTTCAACCTCTCCTGGTGTGAACCTCCTCATCACTAAAATATGAAAAATAACACCTCTCCACTGGGCTGGTATTAACATCAAATGAGATAATATATGCGATGAATCTTTGCACAGTACAAGTGTGCTATGGAAATGTAAATTATTGTTATCAATAAAACTAAAACTTTGAGAAGCAAACTAGCTACAAAGACACGAAATTTAGTATATTTAAGAGATATTGTCTACATTTACTTCAAAGCTTCTTTCATCTCAACTTTGCTCCTTGGATTTAGTCCATCTACCAGTGAAGAGTTTTAAGTTTTAGTTTAAGTCCTTGGCTAAAACAAAAGAAAACAAAATACTATTAAGGAATTTTTTTGGTTGGGCAAAGAAATTAATTTTCTCAACCCTTGTTTTCTTTCTCCCAGAAGGTGGAAATTAATGTGAATATTTCTCCATTAATCCTAAATACTCATTAGTGGTGGAGTGTCTCTGGCCATTAACTTAATTTCATACAACCAGAGGGGCAACTATCCAAGGCAAAGTTTCCCAATCTTTTTCGCTTTGCCACGGAGAAAATTTTAGTATTTATAAGGCACACTGGGGTAAACAGATAGCTGCCTCAGGCCCTACCAGGCTGCCTCAAAGGCTGAGGGGCTCATATCTTAGTATATGTGTTTAGGAAGCTATGTTGTTTGTGAGAGGAAGTGAGGGGTAGAATAGAGATGTCAAATAGATTTCAGCCTTCTTGGCAACTCTAATGGATTGAGGGTGATTCCTGGGGTCCTGTGCTAAAAACTGGGAAGCCCATTTAGGCTCTGGCTGGGGTAGGGGCAATTACAATGATCAAATAGAAGTGTTTGCCATGGACACAGAATAAGCTACAACAGTAAGCTATGAGTCACTATTCCCAGATTAGAAATATTAACCTATAAAGACATTCAAAAGGTACTAATGGAAAAAAATTGCCAAACGTATGAAAAGATGTTCAACTTCACTCACAACAGAAGAAATGCAAATTAAAACTATACCACAGTAACACTGTACACCTATCAGATTGTCAAAAAAAACTCACAAGCTTAAATAATATATTCTGTTGATAAAACTGTGAGGAAACAGGTCATCTCATACATCGTTGGTGGAATTGTAAATTGCCTATGGAGGGAAACGTAGCAGTATTTATCACATTTGCAAATTCATATGCCTTTGACTCAGCATTTTCTTCTAGGAATTTATCCCGAAGATATACTCACACATGTGCAAAGTAATGTGGACCCATGTGAATACTGCAATTAACTGCAGCAATAATTGATATAACAAAAGATTGAATGTAACCTAAATATCCATCAATTTGGGGCAGGTTAAATAAATCATGTTAAATTCATACATTAGAATACAATGTAGTGGTACTGTGTTCTATGTACTGATAGGGAAAGATCTCCAAAAAAACTCTCTTTTGATAACAAAGTTTTGTATGAAAATGTTACACATATCCAAAAGTAGAGAATGAGAAATTGATCCCTCTCATATACTCTCATATAATATGCCCCTCATATCACCCTGATTCGATTTTAGCTTTCATTTCATTTATTTATCTATCCTTTCTTTTCTTTGCTTTAGTATTTTAAAGTAAATCCACCACAGTATGTAATTTCACCCCAACATACTTCCATATGCATCTCTACAGATTATAGATATTTGACTTACATAACTACAATGCCATTAATCATGCTGACAAAATCAACAATTCCTTGGTATCTAAGATATACTCTTAAATTAAAAAAAAAAGATGCAAAGCAGTGTGTACAGTGTGCTATCATATGCAAAAAAGGAAAATATGAATATGTATTTCTATTTCCTTATAAACACACAAAATATCCGTGGAAGGACACATAAGAAACTAAGAGTGGCTGGGGTCAGGAGTGAAACAGACCTTCTACTGGGTACCAGTTGACATGTTTTGAATTTTGAACCATGTGAATATATTACCTATCCCAAAAATGATTTTATAAATTTTATGAATTGTGTTTTTTCCTGTGTTTAATGAGAATTGCTGGATAGAAACACTCTTCCAAGTGGTTTTTATTTTTTTTGAGATAGAGTCTCCCTCACTCTCTCACCCAGGCTGGAATGCAGTGGTATGATCACAGCTCACTGAAGCCTCAAACTCCTGAGTTCAAGTGGTTCTCCTGGCTCAATCTTCCAAGTAGGCAGGACTATAGGCACATGCTACCATTCCTGGCTAATTTTAAAATTTTTTCTAGAGACAGTGTTTTGCTATTTTGCCCAGGCTGGTCTTGAACTCCTATCCTCAAGTGATCCTCCCATCTCGGCCTCCCAAAGTGCTAGGATTACAGGCATAAGCCACTACACCCAGCTCCAATGGGTTTTTCTAATATTCTTCCAGTGAGTTTTTCCAGTGCCTATCAGACAAAGAAAGCCTAATCAGAACTGTAAAACAAACACACCAGTTTGCTGTATCTATGGACAGTAGCCATTTGGTAGACATTACCCTATCTAGAAAGAAACATAAACCAGAATCCCTAATCTAGAGTTTAATTCTATCTAGAGTAATGCATTTTGGAAATTAAAACAAAATTGTATTTTCTCAAATTCTAAATATTAAAGATGTAAGTATTAGCAATTTCAAGTATATAATACATTATCATTAACTATAGTCGCTATCCTATAACTTATTCAAACTTGTACTTTTTGACCAATATTTCCTCATCATCCCCACCCCCACGATACTACCCCAAGACTTCTGGTAACCACCCTTTCTACTTTGTTTCTATGAGTTAGACTTCTTTTTAATTGCACATATAAGTGAGATCATGCTGTGTCTATCTTTCTGTGTCTGGCTTATTTCACTTAGCATAACACAAATATTTTGCTAAGAGAGTTTATCCTAAGTTTGCTCACCACACACACACACACACACACACACACACACACACACACACACAAGTTAACCGTGTGAGGTGATGGATATGTTAATTAGCTTGATTGTAGTAATCATTTCACAATGTATACATAGATCCAAACATCACATTGTATACTTTAAACATATGTAATTTTTATTTGTCAATCATACCTCAATAAAACTGGGGAAAAAGATATAAATATTATCTGTATGCGGTGAGAATTCAATCTCCAAAAGCTACAATATGGTGTGACTTTTCAAAATTCAAACAGTACACTTTTTTATTGGTAGAATTTCTAAACAGAGAACTGCCACTAATTCTGGTTCAGAGACCATTCCTTACAATAGGCTCCTTTTCTCTTGAGTTCTCTGGCAAATTGATTCTGCATAAGTTCAAAGCAGTGTTTTTATAAAGCTCTCAACTGCGGGTAGAGTGGGGTGCTTTGAGTTTAATTCTTTTTATCATTCCTCATTTATTATATCACAGGGCTGCTGACAACATTGAACATTCAATAAATATCACTGATTGTTTAAAGAAAAAATTCATATACACTAAAAATTTAAAATAAATGGAAAGCTCTCAATTAGCCTCAACATAATGTGCAAAATGGATCTGAGAGGGGCAAAAACCAAGGAGCCATTTAAAAAAAAAAAATCTCAAGGGTACAGCCTTTTCATTGAAACTATTCGCTGCTTTCCTCAGTGAGATCGTATCTACGTACTCAAACAGGTTTACTGAAGAACAGCACTGGTTAATAAGAAGAACAATGGCTTTCACAGTGGTTGGAGCTAGCCTAAAAGAGTCCCCAAATCAACCATTTACTAACTAATCATACAACCTATGGAAAGATATTTATCCTCTATGATCCTCAACATCCTCATTTGTAAAATAGGAAAAATAACAATTTAAATATATGATGCACGTCATTTGTAAAGCACTTTCATACATATATAATAAGAAACCAAAAAACTATTCACTTACTCAAAAACATATACCACGTGCTTAACTATACAGTTGCAAAAGAAAATGTACTCAATCTGTTTTTGATACACAAAATCCAAAGGAAGAGCTGGTTAGTTTCCTTTGAAATACACATATTCAAAATGGTAAAAATAAATAAAATTGAAATAACCCTACTTATAATTAACTTTATATTAAATAGCTTATTATCATTTGTCCATCTCACACCTCCCACCTTTCTCTTGCTATAGTTGACAGGCCAGTGACTAGAATTTTGTAACCTAATATGGTAAGGTGGAATGGAATTAATTTTATATTGTCTATTACATAATGACTAGTAATGTTATTTGAAAATAATATTCTTATACTTACTGATTTTTCAACTTTTCTGCCGTGCGTATGAATTCTGCTTTCTTAGTTCGACTAACCTTCTGCTTCCAATTTTGAAGCTGAAAAGAACGAATTCCACCTGAAGTACTAAAACAGCCATCATTCTGCAGAGAGAGCAAAAAAGAATTTATCATCAATAATGATAAATAAAGAGATGAATAAGGAATTTTTTTCAGAGAGATAAAATGTCAATAGTAGAGTTTCTTAGAAGATAATTTTGTGGCCAATCTTATTTAATTTTTAAAAGCATGTTTTTGAAAGAAGGACAATCCATCTTAAAATGTTAAACTGAGTAAGAAATGTTAAATGTCGAGGGATTATCTAAAAAATAATCTAATTCATTCAGTTGGTCATCTAACAAGTAGGTGTCGAACACTCCGATATGATGGGCTGCATTAGACACTGGGGAAACAGCGATGACCCCCACTGATATGTCCCCTGCCTTAAAGTCTAGTGAGGGAAAACAGATTTAAAGAGAAGTAGACAAGCAATACAACAAACAAAAACTCTCAACGGCAGTAAGTGCTATTAAGGAAATAAACGGTGCTTCTGAGATGGAGAAAGTGGGTCAAAGGTTTGCTTTTTCAGTTAGAATGGCCACAGAAGGTTTACTTGGAGGAATGACTTCAAGAAAGAATGTGCACTTAGGTGCTGATCAATTAAAACCAGTTTGATGGTGAGTACATGTGGTGCTTATTTTTCCATTCTTGGTAATATGCTGAAATTAAAAAAAAAAAAGAAAGAAAGAATGGAGCAGGCCATGAGAGAAGCAGTAGGGAAGGTGGTTCCAGGCAGAGGGACCAGGATGTGCGAAAGCCCGAGGGCAGGAAAGACTTTGGCTAGTTCAAGCAGAGAAAGGGCCCCTGTGAGGTGACATTAGTAAAGGGGGGGGAGCTTGGTAGGAGACGAAAGTAGAAAGATAGGTGTGCCAGATCACACAGACGTTTTAGGTCACTTAGAGAGTGTCTGGATTTTACCGAAGGATTTTGAGCAGGAGAATGCCATGATATGTTTAATTCTTTAAGAAAAATTTTCTGGCTGTTTTTTGGAGAATAAATTGGTGGGAGGGGTGGGTATGGGGTCGGTAAGACTGGAAGCAGGAGGATCAGTGAAGTAGCTGGTACAGCAATCCAGGCAAAAAATGATCGTGTCCAGGACTACAAGGATGATGGGAATTAAAAATAAAATTATGTTTTAAGTTGAGATATAATTCACATACCATAAAATGTATCTGTTTGAAGTATACAATTCAGGCCGGGCGAGGTGGCTCACGCCTGTAATCCTAGCACTCTGGGAGGCTGAGGCGGGGTGGATCGCTCAAGATCAGGAGTTCAAGACCAGCCTGAGCAAGAGCGAGACCCCGTCTCTACTAAAAATAGAAAGAAATTATCTGGACAACTGAAAAAATATATACAGAAAAAATTAGCTGGGCATGGTGACGCATGCCTGTAGTCTCAACTATTCGGGAGGCTGAGGCAGGAGGATCGCTTGAGCCCAGGAGTTTGAGGTTGCTGTGAACTAGGCTGACACCACAGCACTCTAGCCAGGGCAACAGAGCCAGACTCTATCTCAAAAAAAAAAAAAAAAAAAATTTAAAGTATACAATTCAGTAGTTTTTAATATATTCACAAAGTTGTGCAACCATCACCACTATCTAGTTCCAGAATATTTTCACGTCACCAAAAAGAAACTCTGTACCCATTAGCAGTCATTCTCCATCTCCCCTCCTCCCACCTCCTGGCCACCATTAACCTATTTTCTGACTCTGTGGATTTGCCTTCTGGAGAATTCATAGAAATAGGCTCACACAATGTACGGCCTTTTCTGTCTGGCTTCTTTAACTTTGCATAATGTTTTCAAGATTCATCTATGCTGTACCATGAATCTATACTTCATTCCTTTTTATGGCTGAATACTACTCCACTATATGGATCTACCACGTTTTGTTTATCCACTCATCAGTCATTAGCTGAAGCACAACTGAGGTATTTCTACTATTTGGCCAATATGCACAATAGTATAATATTATACTATGAACATTTATATACAAGCTTTAGTGTGAATGCATTTTCAATTCTCTTAGGTATATATCCAGCAGTGAAATTTCTAGATCATAAGGTAACTCTATTTTTTTACTTTAGCATTTTAAAAACCGAGTTGCCCTTTTATTTTGAGTTAGAAGCATTCTTTATGTATTCTGGATATAAGTCCCTTATCACTGTGGTTCCCAACCCCTGGGCCGTGGACCAGTGCTAGTCTGTGGCTTGTTATGGACTGGGCCACAGAGCTCCATTGCCACCCCCCACCCCTTACCCCCCTCCTTAGGAAATATTGTCTTCCATGAAACTTAGGAAGGGGGGTGCACAGCAGGAGGTGAGTGGTGGGGCGAGAGTGAAGCTTCATCTGTACTGACAGCCGCTCCCCATCACTGGCATCACTGCCAGAAGTCCACACCCACCCACTTCAGTGGAAAAATTGTCTTCCATGAAACCAGTCCCTGGTGCCAAAAAGGTTGGGGACTGCTGCCTTACCAGATATATGATTGGCAAATATTTTCCCCCACTCGCGGAGTTGTCTTTTCACTTTCTTGATAATGTCTTTTAAGCACTTAACTTTTTGAAGAACTGACAAAACTGTTTTCTACAGTGGCTGTACTATTTTGCATTCACACCAGTAAGGTATGGAGGGTTCAATTTCTCCACACCCCCATCAATACTTGTTATTATCTATTTTTTATTATAGCTATCTTCATGGGTGTGATGTGGTATTTCACAGTGGTTTGGAGTAGTCCGTAATGACTAATGAAGTCACACTGTCTCAAAAAAAAATAATGCATACATACGATTTGCAAGTATTTTCGCCCATTCTCTGACTTGTCTTTTCACTTTCTTGATAAAGTTCTTTGAAACACAGAAGTTTTTAATTTTGATGGAGTCCAATTTATGTATTTGATCTTTGGTTGCTTGTGCTTTAGGTGTCATATAGAAGAAACCAATCTGGTCAAAGGTCATGAAGACTCAAGCCTAATTTTCATTCCAAGAGTTTTATATCTTATATTTAGGTTTCTGATCCACATTGAGTTAATTTTTATATATGGTGTGAGGTAGGAATTCAACTTCTACATGTGAATATCCAATTGTCCCAACACCGTTTGTTGAAAAGAGTACTTTTTCCTTGTTAAGTTTTCTTGGTAACCTTGTTGAAAATCAATTGCCCATAAGTGCAGGTTATTTTTTGACTCCCATTGATCCATACATATGTCTACTTTTATGACAATAACACTCTGTTTGATTACTGTAGCTTTGCTGTAAGTTTTTTTGTTTTGTTTGTTTTTTGAGACAGGGTCTTCCTCTGCAGCTGAGGCTAGAGTGCAGTGACATGATTATAGCTCACTGTAATCTCAAACTCCTGGGCTCAAGTGATCCTCCTGCCTCAGACTCCTGAGTAGATAGGACTACAGCTACACCATGCCTGACTAATTTTTCTTTTTTTGTAGATGGACATGGATCTCACTATGTTGCCCAGGCTGGTCTTGAACTCTAGGGCTCAAGCAATCCTGCCTCAGCCTCCCAAAGTGCTGAGATCACAGGAGTGAGCCACACCTGGCCTAAAGTAAGTTTTGAAATTAAGAATTGTGAGCCCTCCAAGTTTGTTCTTTTTCAAGACTATTTTGGTTATTTTGGGTACGTTGCGTTTTCCACATGAATTTTAGAATCTGCTTGTAAATTTCTGCAAAAAAAAAGTCAGCTGAAATTTTTATAGACATTGTACTAAAACTGTAAATTAGTTTTGGGGAATACTGCCATCTGAATAAAATTAAAATTTTAAATTCATAAACATGAAATATCCATTTATGTAGGTCTTCTTTAATTTCTTTCAATAATGTTTTGGAGTTTTTAGAGTATAATTTTGCACTTCTTTTGTGAAATTCATTCCTATGTATTTTATTCTTTGTGATACTATTGTAAATGGAATTATTTACTTAATTTCACTCAATTGTTCATTGCTAGTATACAGAAATACAATTGATGTTTGTATATTGATCTTATATGCTATAACCTTGCTGAACTTGTTTATTAGTTCTACTAATAATAGTTTTTTATGGATTTTTTGGGATTTTTTTATATATAAGATCACGTCCACATCATCTGTGAATAAGGATCATTTTACTTCTCTTTTTCTAATATGGATGCTTTTTATTTGCTTTTTTGCCTAATTGCCCTGACTAGAACTTCCAGTAAATAAACTGGCAAGAGTGGAGAATCTTGTCTTATTCCTGATCTTATGGGGCAAGCTTTCCATCTTTCATCATGACGTATGATGTTAGCTGAAGTTGCTTCACAGATGCCTTTATCAGGTTGAGGAA